AAAGCGATTAAATAAAAATTTAAATTCCAATACTATTAGTGTTTGACAGCCTGTATTATAAGTTACTTATTTTTTTGAAGTTATACTTCTTTAGGCGCGTTATGAAAAATGATGAGAGTGAAATTTTACGATGCGCGCGCATCGTGACACAAAATTAACAGAATGAAGTTGCCCACGGAAGATGCTAAGGCATTGGACATAATTTAAAAACAACATTCGAATAATAATAGAATTTATGTTACACTTAATGTAAGAGAATAATAATAACTATTTATTTATTTAATTTTTCAAATGTAAACTGAACTTTATTGACTATAATGACTCCTTTTCCAGCCTTTGATTATTTAATTGTAATTAATTATTTGCATGCAATCAAAAACTATTTTTAATAATGCTAAAGAAGTATAACTTCTTACGCGCGTACATAAGTACACGCACCCTTTTTTTTTATAAGTACTACGTTTCGATTCTAGCAAAACAGGGTTTTGCTGATATAGCTATCGTTTAAGATAATGACGATAACGCAAAAATGTCTCTCGTTGGGCCGTTAGCATATCGAGATGCCATATTTAATAAACATTGTTTAAATATTTCTTGGAAAGTCTTATTTATGAAACTACAAAACTAAACTCGTAGACTAAGCCAAGACAAGAGTAACGAACAAATTCAAATTCTTTAATAAATACAATATAATTTAATTATAAACGAACTTTATTTAACAAATGACACACAAATTCTATATCTATTAATAAAAACTAAAAACAAACTTGTACGACATTATGTTTACCGCATATTCTTTCACAGGATGTTTAACATTGCTGCGTGTATTTTTTATGTAATAGGAGGCTGAAGACAAAGACCGCCCCCATGGACACTCACATTGCCAGAAGGCTCGGAAGTGCGTTGCCGGCCTTTTAAGATTTGGTACGCTCTTTTCTTGAAGGACCCTGAGTCGAATTGGTTCGGAAATACTTTAGTGGGAGTATATATAAAGATATCAAAATCTCTTAACTGGTTATGCGTTTTGTTTGAACCTCTTTGATACATCATTGGAATTCATGTTTACGGTTTCTATGGCTGAGCAAAATATTTTGTTGGCTGACCTGACCCTTGTCTATTATTGATAAAAATCAATTTTTTTTTCGGTGACACCACTTTACTTCTTTAAGAATAGTACTTAAGTTAAGTCAAGTTCAAGAAAAGTTTAGTATGTTTAATCGCTAAATTCTCGGACTTGGGACCACAAAAACGGACAGGAAAAAACTGTTTCGCCAGTAAAAGGAACAAACTGATACGCAACAATGCCATGATCTCTAATGAAGAGTTTTATACACAAAGGTACCAACTCTTTTATTAATACCCCGTGTGTTTTAGACTTATCCCATAGGGTTTATATGTACACCTATATATTGAAGGTTGTCATCCTTTCAAAGGGATTGTTGGAAAATGTTCATAGTTACGTCCCATTTTTTCTTTAAGTTTTAATTACATTTCTTACTTGCTTGAGGGTGAAATAGCTAAGGGTTTTAAATATTCAAAATTTATTGTATATAACACGTCACGGTCTCTGTGTGTAACGGAATCTTATCTCATACAAATATGATCTATTTTAATACATTTAGTAATGCTTCTTTCCTTAAAGCTATAAAAATCTCTTTCATAAAGGAAACCTCAGTGTAAAATTATTCAAGTAAACATTAGCTACAACGAGAATGTGTAGTTATTTTACACATTAAATATTCATCACATACCGTGTAGATGGAGTGTACTCAAGTGTACGGCAGAGTCATTTTTAATATAAAGTCTGAGCTATTTTTAAGTTAAAAAAACCTTTGTAACATATATATAAGGAGACATGTACAACATAGCATAATTATATTTCAGTATTTGCTAATAAAATGAACAAACAAATGAAAAAATATTTCAGTAAAATACAAATATTTACATGTCTCTCAGTCTTTCTCCGTATAGTCTAACGGACGGATATAAAAAAGGTTTTAAAGCTAAGACTGAGAGACAAGTCTAAGTATGAACCTTTAATAATCCCTTAACTTAGTTTAAACAGCGGGAATGTGGTAACGGAGTGTGGTAATGAGCAGTGTTGTCCTAGTGGCTTCAGCGTGCGACTCTCATACCAGAGATCGTAGGTTCGATCCCCGGCTGTGCACCAATGGACTTTCTTTCTATGTGCGCATTTAACATTTGCTCGAACGGTGAAGGAAAACATCGTGAAGAAACCGACATGTCTTAGACCCAAAAAGTCGACAGCTTGTGTCAGGCACTGAAGGTTGATCACCTACTTGCCTATTAGATTTAAAAATGATCATGGACCAGATTCAGAAATCTGAGGCCAAGACCTAAAGAGGTTGTAGCGCCACTGATTTATTTATTTAATGTGGTAACGCGGCATGTGTAGCGGTGGGGTTAGAGAGCTGACCACCACGCGTAGCTAGAAGTCAGTATCTGGTCTTAGCTAGCTCATAGATGCAATCAGTATTCTCGAGAAACTGGACGAAATACTGGTGAAAGACAACATAGAGTTTGAGTATCTCTTTAAACTACACACGTAACCTTAATTTACTCAAATAACGTATTCTTATTTATCTATAACAATTTGCTTATGTCAAAACCCGTATTTTTTATTATCAATGTTGCCATGTGTTATGAAAAATTATATATTCAAGCTCAAACGAAAAACTCCACAGTACATGTCGTGTGAAACTTTGAAAACATTTCAAAAATAGTTTTATAACTTCGCACTTACCTTCACTAGACTAGACTATTTTTTAAGATGGCAACAAGCCAATAAAATACGCTTACTTGAATAGAAATTAAATTGTATTCTTCACTATACGCTTTCGTGACAGCTGAAACAAGATGGCGACATTTGTATACAGTGTATAATCTTTTATAGCTATGGCTGAAGCTAGAATTTATTCTTTGTATCAGAATTTAAAAATGATTATTTGATGATTGCATCATCGAAACTATAGTTTTTTTTCTTTACAACATAAATTATAAACAATATTATAAACACATTTACAGAATCCCTTACACTACTAACAGTACAGCTTGAACTCTACTCAGACAGCAGGGCATGCCTCCGGGACGTTATGTTAAGTACTTTATGTTAAATAACGAAAACAGAATTACATATAACAAAACAAAATATAATAATTCAAACGACACGAAAAACCCTCTTGAAATATTACACCAGTAGTCACATTATTCAAATCACGGATCAAAATAAACCATTTAAATGCTATTTAGCGCCATTACACAGTAATGAATTAAAAAAATGTTTAATAAACACTGGGGAATACTGTATTGTGACTTCACGCGACCGACATCGATAGGGTTAGGTTTTAATTCAATGTTTTTGTACTTTAATTTACTGTTGAATTGTGTTCGCGATTGTATCTTGCGTTAATGTAATTAAACTTTTTACTTGACTGTACTTTTGAAATATTAAACGCGAGTGTATCTATGAGTTGTCGACATCGTTACGTTATTTACGTATGTTATATATTTGTTAGGTATATCAAAAAGAGCTTTATAGCATAATTTATCAGAATTGTGTAAAACTGACTTCAGGAAATACCCATCCGCAATTCAAATGTTCCTTTTTCAAAATATTCATATCAAAACACTCACGTAAGATTTTTAAAGAGCAACAGTAGCAGACGAAAATATTTGCATTTGTTTCAACTAATATTGTTAATTCGAATGTCGAATTCTGAATTCGAAATCCCGAGATAATAGAAGCTGTTCTTACTATCAATATAATTATCGAGATTCATCGGAGTATGACTTCAAGCCGACACCATAGCTTGGTGGCGAAGGAACAAAAGTTTAATTCTGGAAAATACGTGAATTGTTTAGTGAAGGTAAAGGTTGATTAGGTTCATGGATACCTCTTTGATGATTACAACAGACACAGATATGCGTCCTATATAGGGGTTACAGGAATTCAAAGAACGCTTTAATAACCGTAAGTGATATGGGAATAGAGCAATAAAATTGGTGCAATAAAATGCAGACATTCACTGATTCCTTATTGTCATGATTCCGAAAAATGATTGTATCGATAGAACTTGAACCCAAGACTCTGTGTTACGCATAGAACGTCACTTACTAAGCCAATTGTATTATTGATGATGAGCTTAAAATCTAAAAATAATATTATTCCAAAATAATAATATTACAAATTTCAATCGAAAAAATGAAACCAGAACACGAATTCAAATATTCACATTCCGATACTTACAAGAAACACTGCGATAACCATTTCCCATGTTCTACGAAGACACGAATCGATCCTTACTTCGAAAGGAAATCTAAAAATAATAAAAGCCGGCTTATTCATGGTACGAGGAGCATTCTATCAAATGTCAGGAGACGGCCTTTAGATTGTTTTCCAGGGAGCCAACGGGCCGTAAAATCAATGACATCATAGAATATGAACGTCTTTTGATATTGCTACATGTCTATTTTCAATTCAGACAATAGCCTTTGACCAGATATCTAGAACATAAAAGAGCCAGCTTATTGTAATGTAAGCTTAGGTCACTGGGTTCGGTAATTTTATGAGTTGGTTTTTCGGAGTTTTTTCTTTGACCATTTTTATATATATATTACTAGCTGACCGGGCAAACGTCGTTTCGCCATGTATATCATTTATAATAAAAAAAATAGGGGTTGATCGTAGAGGGGTCAAAGTTAGGGGTTGTATGAATTTTTTAATGCTGTATCATAAAAAAATAAAAACAGAAAAAAATATCTAAAAATAAAAAAAAATATTTAGGGGTGGACTACCCTTAACATTTAGGGGGATGAAAAATAGATGTTGTCCGATTCTCAGACATACCCAATATCCACAAAAAATTTCATGAGAATCGGTTGAGCCGTTTCGGAGGAGTTTAACCACAAACACCGCGACACGAGAATTTTATATATTAGATGTATACGTGATCAATTCTTGAGTCTAAGGTATGCTTATTATGCCGCGCTGTGCTATCCTGCCTTCAGAGTAAGTGTTAATTAATGGCATACGAAGAATATTGCACAGTTAGGGTTTCGACATACGAGCTCAGGGTAATCAAGTGATTATAAATAAGTCGACTTTCTTACTTACTTCTAGAAAATAATCAGAAGATCTTTTATAGAACAGGGGGCAAACGCTCACCTGATGTTGTGATACCGCCGCCGCGATGGACTTTGTGTCCATTTTCGGAAGGTTCACAAGTGCGTTACCGGCCTTTTAAGGCTTTGGCTTAGTGGAAATTGCCGTATGTACGGACGGCATGAGTGTGAGATTGGCGAAACAATCGCTTGTTTTGGGTTGGTCACCAAGAAAACCGTGTCCATGTAGTTTAGATTTTATAATTAAAAATATTCTTACAATGTCTATATGAAAGTAAAAATAGATAAAAAACATTATTTCTTCATAACACAACATTTTATCTAGTTCAATATCGCGATTCAAAGGCAAAAATAATTTTCCTGCTCTTTGTCCCAACTCTGAGCAACTTTACACAACTTTGCTTAAAATATGTTTTCAACTAAAATATGAATTTAGAACACGCCATTTTAATTTAATACATGCTCATTGCTGTCAAAAAGCGGAAGTGGAAAATTTGTCATCGCCCTGCCCTTTAATTTTGACAGTTATTGGTCATAGTTTTATTTTTATTGTCATACGTTTAATTTATTAGAAATGACAAGCATTTTTCTTTTAATTAATTTTTATGACACATTATTGACAGAGTACGAGTATTGAGTGAGTCGTAAAGATGTCTTTTTAATATATCTTTTTCTTCAGTACAAGATCTTCTACAGCTAGTATAAAATATATATATTATTATATACTTATAGCACAAATTAAACGGCAATGATTATACAAAATTATCTGAGCGTTTCCGCAGGAATGTTAATAGTTCGGAATATAAAATATTGGTCGGGGCACGCGATTCTCGCACGCTAAATGTTTTTTTAGGATTTCTAAAAACTAGTTTCACTAACACCACAAGTGCTTGGAATATGCTATTAATTTTAATTTTAAATAGTTCCGGACATTCTTTGTATTTCTTTCTTTTAATTCCTGTTATAATTGTCGAAATGCACGGAATATTTAATAATCAAACACATTTACTCCAACGGGTCGTGGGGGAAAGTTATTAACTATTGATAGGAAAGCGACTCAAGAAAGCAAAATTAAAGATTATGTCAGTGTAAGAGATTAAACGAAACATTTTAACAATCCACAGGATTTACATAAACTATATAAATACGTAAAAACGGCATTAATGGAAACGGGGCAAGCGTCCAAAGAAAAACAGAGAGGGAACGGCCTATGTTGAAGAATTGATCACTATTTAACTTTATTAGTTCATAATATTTTTATTATATTACTAATTGGTTGTCAAAACAAATTCCTATTTCATTTATCACGGATCCACAATAGTGTTATAGAATAATTATTAGTATCTATGTATGTTTGTAACGACAGTAAACTCAAAAACTATTGAACCGATTGAAAAATTATTTTACTATTGAAATGCTTCACTAATTCTAAGTAATTTTTTTATATATTTCCAAATGTACAGACGTGCGAATTAGTAATTAATAATTCCGGTCTATACTTAGTCGGTCAATAGCCAGTAGTATATAAAGCAATGCAAGAGGGTATTTTATTTCGATTCAATAAAGGAAGAAATGTATTTCCACGCACATCATCACATTTAAATAGATGTAACATATTTTGGTCCTAGAACAGCATAAACGTGAAGACTTCCTTCAAATAGCGAATTCTATGCTTATGATTATAGGAATTCAAAATGGCAAGAATTTTCAATTTATTCGTAGTAGAAGCATCAGTCGTCACGTAAACACCATCCATCTCGCTCCCCTATGTATTGACGCGTTTTGAAAAATGTAAAAAGGTCATTCGGGACATCACGTACTTTTCATTTATTATACCCTCGAATACCTCAACGATTTCGACATCATTCATTGACAATGACTTCAAAATTGTATTTAAAAAATGATTTTTGTTTCTACCGCATGAAATTGATATGATACTTAGAAACTATAAAAATAATGATATAATGTTTTAATACGGTTTTGTTCCTACTCTAACATAAAAACACAAATACTCTTACTCTTATACAGGTGTACAGCGACCGTAAACATGAAAGATGTAAATAGAATAACTGCAAAATAAACAATCAAGGTACACATTTGAGCGATTATTGTATACTTCTAAAGATTAAAAACCCTTTTATATAGTCGATTACTATAGCTAGAAAATAGCACATATAAAATAGGTAATATCGAGCAATTTCATCACCGCATGGAAACGAATCTATTCATATACTTCCTTGGTATACGGCAACTGTTTTTGTTTTTAGGATCAGCCTTTGTGACAAATTTCCTGCATCGTTATTGCATCAACCATTACCTGCTATCAACCATGTCAATTCATTACTATGTATTTATTTCGTAATCCGTAAATACAATAAAAATTATAAATAACAAAAAATAATTATACTAAAGAAATAATCAAAGATGGAATACATAATATATACATAAAGGTTCGAACATTTACAAAAGGAAAAATCAATAAAAATTATAAATAACAAAAAATAATTATACTAAAGAAATAATCAAAGATGGAATACATAATATATACATAAGGGTTCGAACATTTACAAAAGGAAAAATCAATAAAAATTATAAATAACAAAAAATAATTATACTAAAGAAATAATCAAAGATGGAATACATAATATATACATAAGGGTTCGAACATTTACAAAAGGAAAAATCAATAAAAATTATTAAATATATCTAACTAAGTAATACCTAATTTGGATGTGGATTGTGATGGTGTGAAAGTGAGGGTATGTACGTGATGTGTATGTGTGTGTAGGGTGTGTTCATGGTCCGAGTGATTAGGGCTATGGATATTCTTAATACTTATTTTAAGCATATTCCACGATAGCTATTAATATATGATTTCCATGTTAAACATAAATAATCTTTGTCAACAGATCAACAAAATGCAGCGGCGGTTCACCTCACAGAGAAAGGCGACGTCGGGAGGAAGAACCACAAGCTTCAGGCTTCAGTGGAGCCCTACACAGAACACCTCCTCATCCCCCACCAGCACTCTTACGCCGTCTGGGAGTCAAGGAACCAACTGGTGTTGGAAAGGTATATTTTTTGATTCACACGATTTTTTTTCAACATACATTTAATGTTTATCAAATTTACAATCACATATCATTACTCTTTTAAATAACTACATTTAAATCACTTGTCTTCAAATTGTCAGTCACTTTTTAAGTAATTGTTTTCCTTCGTCTAAATTTTATAATTACTGTGATTTATAGTATTCAAGTGTTATTCAATTTACCATCTACATCAAACTTTTATTTACACTAGTATAAAACTAGCCACTCAATAGGGCCAGACTTTACTTAAATTATGAAGTCTATTTACTTTTACAAGTTCGTAGCGACAAGAGTTCGCTGAAAACAAACTTCGCAATTCGTACGTGTCGCCGAGACGTACCCGGTCGATGATTAAGAGCTATTACGCACTGTCGACTTGTCGCCGGCGACTCGGTCGCTCGGGCGACCAAAACATAGGCAACTAGGCAGGAGACCAAGTCGAGCGACAGTATTCCAAGTACATTCGTGCAGAATGAATGTCGAAGAAGCTGCTACAGTAGCGCTACTAATCAAGAGAAAGAAAAATAAAAGAAAATCAAGAGAGTATTGGGTACATCCTTTGTTACAAGAACGAAGATCAAAAGGAATTTTTTTAACTATTTTATGGAGACGTGAGAAAATACCCTCGTAAATTTTTCAACTACGCAAGAATGTCTGTGCGTTCGTTTGATAAACTATTGTGTCTTTTGAAACCACATATAACTGGCACAGATACAAATTTGCGACCATGTGTTTCTCCATTTTTGTGCGCGACGTCCGGTCGTTACGACAGTTGCTCGCAGTGTGAATGCTTCCAATTGAAGCCGTGCTCCTATTGGTCGCCAGCGACCGGCAGTCGCTTGTGTGTCGCCACGACGCGGCGAGTCGCCCAGTCGCTTGGGCGACCGACGACCAAGTGCGTAGACATCTATTTAAACTGTAGAAACTCACAGTCGCCAGCGACCGAGTCGCCGGCGACAAGTCGACAGTGCGTAATAGCTCTAAAGAACGTTGCGAAGCTTCCTTCCAAAGAAATATCAATACTTACTTTAGTATAAATATTGAATGGAACTAATTTTAACATTTGAGAAACAAACGTCATCACACTATATTATTAACTTTACTTCGTATTTGTCACATCTAAGTGTATGTGCTCTGGAAGTAATACAAGTGTAGTAGAGAAAAATATTTTTATTCCCAAATGTGTACGTTACATATACATTACATACATATAAAAGTCAGGTGGTCATCGATGTAATCACACTTGACACCTGTCCACGATGTTAAATGTTGCAGAATTCGAAATTTTAAATTGCGTTCCATATTTAAAATTCCATTTTATATACCGCAGATGCTATTAATATGAAAGCATCTCTAATAACTGCTTACTTGCTATCATCCGTGTATCAGCATTACGGGCTATAATTTACAGAGCCCGTTATCCTGGGCTCACTAATTGGTTCCCGTAATGAGACAACTGATGATCTACCCTAATGAGCACCGAGATGTAAATCTTTTATTACAAGGTACTTTGAATTTCGAACTGAAAGCGTTTCTTTAGAGTTGTGATGATTGAAAGACAAACCTAACCCATATTTCTTCAAGCAGTCATCTACCTTACAGAATAAAGACTGTTTTAGTGCATGTGTGTTTTGTATATTATCTATAGCGTCTTAAACCATATAAATCTATCGCTATGCTAACATTAATTAAATTCAGTAACGATACTAACGCGATGGAGACTCAGTGTGGCGTCCACAGTGAAAATCTGCTCCATCTAGGAGGTATTAAGTGTTAAACGGTGCTAAGGTGTTAAAATACTTTCGCATTTTCCAGGATAAATGTCATACGACACCTGGATAGGGCAGAGGGGGTCTACAGTGATCCTCCATGGCGTTCAGTCTTGAGCTTCACATTTTACCTCGCTCCAAGTCTTTCCGACTCTCTTCACCTTATCTCAAAATCATTACATTTTCTTATAATATTATAGTTATGTAAGACGTATTTTATAATCTTAGCCAATATAAAGATTTGCCCGATAATTTTCCAGATCATTAAAATCTTGGACGTGATTAATAAAAGTTCAAAGTATGGGTTTGTTCATTAGCGCGGAAATCTGATATCACGCTCTGACGCTTCTTCGATGACGTTAGATTTTGCATGCAACAAGTCACAGATTCCATCAATGACGAAGCATTACTTGCGTTTATATTATAGCGGCTTTTACTCCCGTCACTGTCTATGTAAAGATGTGACAATGAATATTATGAACATCACATTATGTCGAAATTAGGGATAACATTGTTCAGTTGTTTAAATTATACGAATAGAACGTTAAACGAATTTTAACTAAATAACGTCTTTTGTTAAAATTATATACTCTATAACGTATACAGGAATTATGTTTGACTCGGAACTAATTAAAATATATTTTCTTGTCATTTCAAAGCGAGATAAATATAATTCTATTCACGAAAGACATTACAAGTTCGATCGAAGCTTCAGTAATGCGATTAGCGACTAACTTCATCGTAAATTCAAACATCTTTGCCAGCGTGGACTGAATATTGGAACTATTAATAAGATTGGAACTAGAATAATAATGTAATCCCGTCATTGCTGTCAAAGCCAATGTACAAAGCAAATGGTGTAATGCCATTTTGAAAGACACTGCAAGGGTAACTTAACTTGTGAAATTTGGGGTCGAATTTGGGACTCCAATTAAAAAATCTAATCACAAATAAACCAAATTCAAGCCTATCCATACTGGTAAGTTCGTATTGTTCGTTCAGACGTACTAACAATTAAACAAAAATCTATTGTTAATTTAATTTATAATATATAAAGCCAAGTATTTAGAGTTGATTATAATTTTTTTGGTTGGCCTAGTGGCTTCAGCTAGCGACTCTCATCCCTGAGGTCGTGACGTGAGGTTCTATTCGAACGGTGAAGGAAAACATCGTGAGGAAATCGACATGTCTTAGAACCAAAAAGTCGACGGCATGTGTCAGGCACTGGAGGCTGATCACCTACTTGCTTATTAGATTGAAAAATGATCATGAAACAGATTCGGAAATCTGAGGCCCAGACCTTATATATTTTTTATGAACATTTTACTAACTTAGAAACAAAGTGAGCTTACGTAATACTCATCTATGGCTTAGTTGCATTTTATTGACATTTATGAACCAATTGATAATAATAACAACTATATTACCAATCCTTACTTGTACTACTTCTGTTATTAGATTTCATATACTTTCAAATCAATACACTAGTGCATCAATATTTCAAATCAATCATTGATATATAGGTTTAGATCTGAATCTAACGACTCTGAAGACGTTATTGTAAAACAATCGAAGTGCGGGTTAAGCGGAATCACTGTCAAGCCAACTTTAAAAACTTCTAAGTAAGGAGAATTTCAAATTCAAAAGTAGTATAAATAGTTTTTGTAACCATAAAATGGGAGTGCAAAATTTAAATTATAATAATATAAAATAATTAATTAATTTAGCGCAGTAAAGTATTTTTAATTTTTATTTTAACCTTACATCATTTTATATTACTTGTGTTTTTAAAAACATGATTGTCCGTTTGGTGGCGCAAGATTCTCAGCTTAGTCACACTGATGTTGTCGGTTTCCACGAATTGGCATAAACTAAGTCCAAGTTTGTCTTCGAGCTAATATGAACGTAAGTGGTGGATGATCTTGTCTCTGACCCATAGGCCTAACAACTCTAAATATAATCATGCGTCAAAGCAACAACTGTCACATTTTTCTTACATTTTATTTTATACTACCCACTTTTTGTTTTTATTAACGATATGTGACAGCTGGAAACAGTTTATCTAAAATCAAACGCTACAATTTGTACCACGGAGGTATAATTAAACCATACCTTATGTGCCAATAAGCTGATTACTCATTCATATAGCGTGTTGATAAGCAGTGGTTGGTTAACCGATGTGACCTGACCGCAACTATAAGACAAGCTAACGAGCGACTACAAATCCCAACGTACGCCCAGGCTTCGGTTAATGTTACACATATTCTGTGCAATTTATGTCTTGTGCCTTGGGAATTTACACTCATAGCAGGAATTTCGACTAGTTTCCATGACATTTTGGGAATGTAGTCAGTTCAGCGTTAATTTGTCTGGGCTCATAGGTGAAAGCTTGGTTTGATCTTTGTCGTTGTTTCGATTTTAAGCGTGGTTTATGTGAACATCTCTACTACTCTACTCCTGATTTATGCTTCAGTAAAGGCATTGCAATTCTTCAAAATATATATAGACCCGTACACCCTGAACAAACATTTTAAATATAAAGATAAAGCTTAGCTGGAAATTGATAAACGTTGATTTTGTATGAAAAAAATTCTATTCAAAAAATGAATTTTCTTTATATAGAAAAAACGCTTCCTGACGAAACTTGCTTCATACCTAATGTTAATATTAGTCACAAATACAAAGGTTTGCTTCTGGTTTTCTATATGCACAATCTCTTACATTCTAAAAACATTCGAGTTAAAACAAATCCTACATAACTATGTCAACAAACAGATTCGTTTGTGAAATCCTCTTATCTCGGCCACGCTATGTTTTTGTCAGCGCCGTGCAGCTACGGGCTTATCAAGAATTGCAAATTCGTTGCGGTAATTTTTTACGGCTTACGCTTTTAACCAAAAGGTTACAAAAGCCCTGTCAATATCATAAACGTATCTGATAGAATTGCAAATGGTTGTGCACTTTTCAAAAACCATTCAACTTTGCATGCGCCAAAAAGGTGAATAAATTTGCGAACTATGTTATACGTTATTTTAAGCGAAACTATTGTGAACTAAACGTGTTTAAAAAACTTTGGACATTGTTTGAATGAAAATTGAAAAGCAATTATTTGAAAAGCTCGCTTTAGGTATAGATAATAAATAAAGGAAGAAGATTAATATTATAGGTGTATTACTATTTACTAAAAGTATTTTTAAGAAAGTTACCATATTATATATATATATATATATATAAATAATCCTTAGGTATTACATACATAGATTATTCCGTATTAACAGTACTTCGAGCACAGTCACTAACATACTTATGCCCATATATTTCTTATACGAGGAACGGCTGGATACCAGTTACTAAAGTATTTTTACAAGAGCAGTGTAATTTTATTATGTATAAATGAGATTTGTGAATTGGTAAACAAAGTTTACTTTTCTTACTGTCAGCACTGTCAAAACATCAACATACTAATATTACATCCAGGTAGTGTCCGGACATATAACTGTTATTACACAGATTCTTATAATAATATTATATTAGGCAAAGTAATAATATGACCCATATAGGGGTCCCAATGGCACAAACATCAACGTGGATTGTTTTGACACGTTATGAGATTTACCTCCCTTGGTTTTCACTATTATTGGATATTTTTGTTTTCTTTCTCTCCTAGTGGATTGTGTAAATAGTATTTATCATGTTCGAGTATTTTATTATATACAATATTATTATATGAAAAAGTATTCAATGGACTTGACTTGATATCAATAGCAGCTTTTTAATGAGTCAAGAATACACTTAAATAACCAAAGCTAGTCTCATTTTACCTTTGGGATGAATGTTTTCGTTGCTGCATTTTATAATTTCTAACATACGTAACACGTAAAATCTTTTAGTATATGATTTATTTAATATTTAACTAAAACCAAAATATATTTGGTAAGTTTTTCTTAAACAAAAACTGCTTAACTTTATTAACAAAATGACCCCTTAAGTATTCTTACCATCATTAAGATGTAGTACCAGGGGAGCAGAAACACTAAGTGTAGGTTCAATGCGGGTTTTCCTAGTTGCTGTCAATTTGTACCATCCAATGAGATCGGTGGACGGCGCCCACGGGATTAAACTTCTTATTGATTCGACCCTTTTTTATCGGCCTTGCCCAAGGCATTGGTTAAAGGCGGTTGAATACTCGTATTGTAGCTAAATAAATAAGCCTCGAGTATTTAATAAAACATTTATGACATAACGAAAAATATGTAATTGGTTTTAAGCTTTTCCAAATTAAATATTTATAACTGATATAATAATATTATTTTGTATTCTAATCAGTAAAGGTTACTCTTTAGTTTTGCCAGTAACTATGTCCGTTTGGCCTTAATTGTTCGCCTTAACAGCTGGTCATAAATGCGTTGGTTGCAGATTATCTATACAGACCCTTGTTTTTCAGCCCAGCCTTAAATTCTGTAAATTCATTCGATTGTCGATTTAAGATGTGAATTCACTTTGCGATTGCTCCACTAAGCCATAAGCATAGCTGGGTGAAGTGAGTTCAAGTCATATTTGAGGATTTTCGAGGCTCAATCGTTATTTTCCTCATAGTATCGCCCAACTGGCTCCTATAACTTATCCCACATGCATAGATGATGTATACAGCAGACTAGTCGTTATTGATACCACTTGGTCTTCCTTTGATCTGCACGCGGGATACATATCAATTCGCCTTGTTTTTTCTTATCCCTGCACATGTTTTGACCTGATTTATTTAAATTGCGTCATTCTCTTTTACTTGTTTCTTCAGGGTTTTATCTTTAAACTGATTTCGTTTCTTTTACATATGATAAGCTTAAAATAGCTGTACATAAAACGCGTCAACAAAATTCAAAATAGGCGAAGCATTCTCCAATACTCAATGTTGATTAAATAACAGAATGTTATTAAAAAAAATCCAGTTCATCCATATTTTAATACTGTTATAAATTATCTCACGGCGTACGCAAGTTATCCTCGAAATTCGATCCTAATTTTATTAGATATGTTATTCAACTCGTATTAATAAGGTATTCGTATATTATCATT